GAGGACTCTTTCACATACAGGTTTCGCAGAACTTCAAATATGGAAGTGGACTGAGTCCAAGAAACTTAAAGCGGCGAAATTGTTCCTGCTACAGTATGTATTGCTTCCTGAATTTCCTCCTATTCAATGTATGCCAGCAGATGTCAGGGATAATGTGAAAATTAGATTAACTTTACCAAAAACAGATGAAGGAAATGCTATTGGGAGAGGAGAATAAAGGGAAGCGAAACACTGACTGAAAAAGAACTCATTTACCATATTTTCTTAATCATAATATTTGGATGTCCAGTTTAGTTTGGGATCATTTCCCCTCATTTTCTAAAATGCGAAGAAGCTCATTTCCTAGCAGAGTAGAAAAGGTGGTGGAAGACTTAGGACGTGCGTAACCTAGCTAAGTTAGTGCAGTGTAAAGCTGGTCTGGAGCAGTCCCAAATCCCGCACATTCACGCTGAATTTGGGATCATTGTCCAGATGGATCAGGACCACCAGCTGTACATTCAGAATGAGTCCAAGGTTTTGGCCGTTGTATACAAGCACTTAGTGGAAACAGCCAAACAAAAATCAAATATGACACAATGCTAGATTTCTATGAGGCAGCCAATACTGGAGACTGACCTGATCCACTTACGCAATTTCGAGCTTTATATGGGACTCCAGTACAGACTTTGTATCTTGTGTTTGCAGACACACCCAAACAGAGAATAATATTAAAGAGAAAGAGAATAGTTTGATTCCAGATGAACCATCTCCCCTCCCATCCTGCCTCTGTGTCATACCATTTGATAACTTGGGTAACAGAAGCACTGTACATTTGTTGTTTTTTCAGGACAAAGTTGGTTTGCTTGCTTCTTTAAGAAGGCGAAACTAAGCAACACAATTAGCATGTTATGAGATATGGATTTCCCTGGAGAATTAAAAGATGTCTATTTATTCTAGCATAAATTTTCCTTACTCTTTATATTGCAAATTACCTTGCTTTGCTTTGCTTTGCGATTGTCTTCTGAAAGTAAACACAGGCTTCATTTGCAAACCTGTTCAGGCGCAGAGCATCAACTTGTGATTTGACCAGCTTATGCTCATTAAAAAACTTAAAACACTATACATAGGTTTTACAAATACATGTCAAATTTATCCAATTACAAAACTGAGAGCATCAATACTTTTAGTAAAATATATATTGAACAAAATGTTTTAATATATGTTTAAAAGATAACAAAGAAGAGTAGATTGTGGTCTAGTCCACTGCTTTATTATTGCTCCTGGCACCATGCCCTTCTGCATAAGCTGGCACTTGGGAAACAGGTAGCATGGGGCAATCACTTTTCTCCCACCATGAATTGTATGTGTAAATGCAAAACAAGATATATTATTTGTTTAGAAGGCTACTGTTATCCTAGCATAAGGCTACGATAGGACCCATCTTCTGAGCATAACTTCAAATCCAGGAAGATGAATACAGTATTTGACCCACCTACACACCTGCTGGCCACAACATACACACCTGTTGGACTAATCTTGCACAAGGCTGAAAAACATTTATTTCAGGTTCTTGATTATACACATAGTGTTCTGCGTGCTACATTGATTTTTAGATATCATCCTTTAAAAATAAATCCCTAATCAGACAGCAGATTAAATCTGTTCTGTGATGTAGATGGTGCCAGCATTCCTTCTTGGTCATAGTTCTGCTAACTATGTGATGGGATAAATACTTCAAAACTAAAGAACAGAGGTCGTGTTACATTGCTAGGATAAATATATATTATTCTGTGTAATATAGATGTGTTATTGCTTTCTTTTGTAATCTGATTTATCTTTAGAAAGGATTCGAGATCTCTCTAAAAATCCAGGCTTCTGTTACTCTGTGTCCTTTATGTTAGCTGCCCGTTTCTCATGTGTTGATTTGTGTTGTTTTGTATTTTCTGTATTGTATTATGTGGTTTGGTCTAAGTTATATTGCATTGCCCATAGGCTTGTTTCGTTCTGTATCCTTTTGGAGTCACATAACATAATTTATTATCATAGTTACATTTATTTAGTAATTTATTATCCAAAAAACCCAGGGTTAAACCCTTGTGCCGACAGGACTGAAGACCGATAGGTCAGAGGTTCGAATACGGGGAGAGATCGGATGAGCTCCCTCTGTCAGCTGCAGCTCCCCATGCGGGAACATGAGAGGAGCCGTCCCCTGGGCAACATCCTTACAGACAGCCATTTCTCTTACACCAGAAGCGACTTGCATGTCAAGTCTCTCCTGACATGAAAAAAATAGTCACAATGTTTTTATGTTCTGTTTCATGTCTACATTTTCTATCATCTGGTTCCCAAAATGTGTTTTTCCTGGTTAGCAACCTTTAGCAAATAAACATTTTAATCACACAGGAACAAAACCTCTCTTTAAAAAATCTCAACCTGACATTTTTGGCTTTAAAATACAGTAGAGTCTTGCTTATCCAACATAAATGGGTTGGCAGAACATTGGATAAGCAGAAATGTTGGGTAATAAGGAAGGATTAAGGAAAAGCCTATTAAATGTCAAATTACATTATAATTTTACAAATTAAGCTCCAAAACATCGTGTTTTACAAGAAATGGACAGAAAAAGCAGTTCAATACACAGTAACATTATGTAGTAATTACTATATTTACGAATTTAGCACCAAAACATTGCAATGTATTGAAACAGCTGTGGATTCAGGTGGGAGGTAGACTGTATTGGATAATACAGAACATTGGATGAGCGAAGATTGGCTAAGCAAGACTCTACTGTATTGGTTTTTAGTGTTCCTTAACAACAACAATAAAAAACAAATGATTTATTTCACTCTGTGGAGAAGGAAGTTTCCTCAAAGCGGAATTTATTAACAAGCATCTAAAAATAGTGTGTTGTTTTCTCACAGGTAAGGGTAGTTGATAATCTTTGGTTGTACTATTAATTACTGAAGGCACTAAGTGTCCCTCCTTTTCTGATTGGTTGGGCTGGAGAAGCCTGAGTGTGGGTGGATAGGCCATTTCATTTCGCCAGGGTGTATACCTTCGTCCCCCGCTTCCCTTTATGTATCACTCTCCCGTCTGGTTAAGCAGGTTCTGCTGAATTTTGAAGCATTATTTCAAAATCATCTGTGAATAGATGTGAGTGGCAAAACCCAGGGCAGAAATAGGTCTGTCATACAAGGCAGTCATATATCACCTCAAAAAGAAGGATTGTTCAGTCTGGAGTCTCATTAGCATTTTTCTTCCCTGAAGACAGTTCAGGTCTTGGACTGATTTATGGTATCTCAATGTAAATGTATTTTCTTCCAAGCTACTTGTCGCTGTTTATACTTCTGTTATTGCTTTATTCACTGTCTCTTTATGATAGAGCTATTTGTAAAACTGTCAGCCATAAACATGTATTCAAAACTTAAAATGCATCAAGTGTACATTTGAAAATAGTAACGTCTGAATTTTAGCACTCCTTATACTCTGTTCTTTTTCTCCAAGCATGCCAGTCAGATCCTCTCCTTTGAAAATATCACTGCACTTTATAAATGCTATTGGCAAAAGAGTTGCAGACAAATGTGCATTCTCAGCAAGATGTGTAGCTGCTCTAGAAAAAAACCTGAGACAGCTGACCTAGGGAGAGGAAGGGAAAGTGTGCCTATACGCTGTTATTCACATGCATTATTGATTGTGGACACTGTAGTAGCAGGCAGGGTGCCTTTGAAATCTTGGCTTCCAAGTTGTTTACTTTGAGAACAACCTGCATCAAATTTGCACCATAAACTGGAGAGTCCCAGCAAATGTGCATGCCCTGCATTGACGATTTGGAGTGGTTCAAACTATGCAATCCTCATTCCATCAACTTATGATCATGGCATTCTTGTCCTCAAGAGCTGAAATACCTGAAGCTGCTCTTGAATTGGAACACCTTCATGTCCGAGCTTAAAATAACAGTATTACAGGTTGAGTGTCCCTTATCCAAAATGTGTGGAATCAGAAATGTTCTATATTTCAGATTTTTGTTTCTTCAGATTTTGGAATTTTTGCACATCCATAATGAAAAATCTTTGAGGAGACCCAAATCTAAACATGAAATTAATTGATACTTCATATACACCTATAAATCAGTCTAAGGGTAATTTTAAGTCCTTTTGAAATTCTTCTTTTATAAGAGATAATGTACCTTATGGCCCCCCTGGTGGCACAGCAGGTTAAACCTCTGAGCTGCTGAACTTGCTGACTGAAAGGTTGGTGGTTCGAATCCTGGGAGCAGGATGAGCTTCCACTGTTAGTCCCAGCTTCTGCCAACCCAGCAGTTTGAAAACATGCAAATGTGAGTAGATCAATAGATACCATTTCTGCAGGAAGGTAACGGCACTCCATGCAGTCATGCTGGCCTCATGACCTTGATGGTGTCTACAGACAACGCCAGCTTTTCAGCTTAGAAATGGAGATGAGTACTAACCCCCAGAGTTGGACATGACTGGACTTAATGCCAGGGGGAAACCTTTACCTTTATCTATGTGGATTAGTCAATGCAGGTTGTGTGGGTCGTTGTTTTGACTAAAATTTCTAGACTTTTATATAAGAATTTTCACTGAATCCAAGTAATTCTCTTGTACTTCCAGCCCCAGATTTTGACCCATCATGGCATCAAATGCTAATTATTTATCAAAATCTGGAAATAATATTTGCAGGGAGAGGGGTTACAGCTCCCAAAATCCCACAGCCAGTGCAGTCAGGCTACCTGCAGGGTTCAAAGTGATATAGACTTGGGAAACAGGTTTTCCAAATTCCTCCCTAGTCATCAGCCTTTCCATCTTTCAAAAAGAGCTTATCCGCTGAGCAAGGGTCTCTATGGCTCAGTCATACCTGCTGGGTGATATACGTTCTCCACTGCAGAAGTTTATTTGTTTTTTTTTTATGAAGTATAATGCTGAAGTGGTGAGTAAATACATGAGTAAAATTAAAGCATTGTGGTTTCTCAGCTAATGTCTGTCATCTCTCTCCTCTTTCAGGTGAATGTCTAGAAAGCAGGATGAGCCATAAAGGGTCTACGAGCAGCCATCCTGGTTCTGCAAAGTAAGATACTTAAATGTTACATAAACATTAACACCAGGAGATAGCATATACTGCTTGGGATGGAGAGGAAGCACTGAAATATTACTAGGGAAGTTTTATAGGTACTATGTTGTCTGTAGTTCCAAAGATAACTTATTAACTTCAGTTTTGGTGAAAGGTATCCCATGAACCATATTTCACTGGTTGACACACCTCCGCCTCCAAATTAGGACCCTTGATGGCAGGTACCCCTGTCTTGTCTGGAGACAGTTTCTATTTATTTTTCCTCATCCAGCCAATTACCTCCAGACATTCATTCAGATGAGACAGGATTCTTAGCTAAAGCTATATGTGGTTAAGAAAAATCCTTTCCTCAATATTGCTTTCTTCCTTTGCAGTGGCAGCATGGGCAAAGCAGATGGATCTTCCAAAATGAGTGCAAAAGATTTATATGGTAAGTTCCCATCAAACGAGTTTAATAAAACTTGGCTAAATATAGAATATTGGATCCATTTTTAGCCGTAGGGAAGTAAGAAATAAACTTGACTGCATAGTGAGATGACTCTGTTAGTTGACGTTTCAAAGAACATTGTTGTTGACTGCCAGATGTATGGTCTGTAAACTCCAGTGTGAAGAGTGCTTCTCTTGTTGTTGCACATATTTCAGGCAACATGGGAAGGGCCGTGGGGTAAGGTTTGTGTGTATGGCAAAAGTTTCAAGTCCCCCTGTTCTAGGGGTATGAAGATCTCTCAGTCTCAGTCTTTTCTTCTTTCATTTATTTCACATCAAGTTGTACGATGGTATCAGTGAGTTCTGTATAAAAAATGTGTGGGCAGAAGTGATTTTAGCGTTATTCTTCCTAATGTTTGCATGTACAGTAGAGTCTTGCTTAGCCAACATAAATGGGGTGGCAGTATGTTGGATAAGCTAAAATGTTGGATAATAAGGAGGGATTAAGGAAAATCCTATTAAATGTCAAATTACGTTATGATTTTACAAATTAAGCACCAAAACATCATGTTTTACAACAAATCGACAGCAAAAGCAATTCAATACATTGTAACGTTATGTTGTAATTATTGTATTTGTGAATTTAGCACCAAAACATTGCAATGTATTGAAATAGCTGTGGATCTGGGCAGGAGGCAGATTGCGTTGGATAATACAGAACATTGGATGAGCGAAGGTTAGATAAGTGAGTCTCTACTGTATTTACATAGTTTACTCAGTCCATGCATTTCTCCCCATTTGTGCATATTTTTTCAGTTGTTTACATTTTAACCATTCACACTTTGATAGGTGCACATTAGCCTACGTCTAGTTGTTCATCATAGGTAGTCAATCCATTTACTAAGGCCCCATCTACACTGCCATATAATTCACATTCTGAATCCTGATTATATGCTTTGAACTGGATTTTATGGCAGTATAGACTCATATAATTCACTTCCAAGCAGATAATCTGGATTCCGATTATATGGCAGTGCAGATCCAGTCTAAGAGTCCTTTACCCATGGGTCTACTCCAGTTGAAATTATGTTGTTTATATTTTTCTCTCTGAAACATCCTTTTAGCCTGGCAATAGAATGAATTCTGAAGATAAGGCACAATATAGTGGTTTGAGCATTGGACTCACATTCTGGGAGACAGACCATGATAAGCCATGGAAACCTTTTGTCTGGTTAACCTCTGGCAAATCATAGTCTCTTGGCTTCATGGGAAGGAAATGGCAAAACCCCACTGAATAAAAACTTGCCAATAAAATCCCTTGATATGTTTCCCATAAATAAAAAAATGTCTTGAAAGCACATAATATTGTTAAGCAAGTTGTATAAAAATAGCATGGAAATAAATGTAAGCAGTATTCTCACTAGGACCAGATGGTATTTATGGTAAGAATTCTGTAAGGATGGAAAATACTTTGTGTAATACGTTTTATGGACTGTAAGGTAGCTAATGCTACTTAAGAAATGTAAGCAAACGAATTCTAAGAATGATAGTAGCCTGTAATTTGCCAAGTCATATAGTGATTCCCATTGTCAATGTGCCTTGGATCTCAGATGTGGCTTCAGATTTGCATGTTGGACATTTTTTAAAGTATGTTGAACATTAATTAATTAATTAACCCAATTTATACTCTGCCTTTCTCTACCCTGAAGGGGACTCAAAGCAGCTTACAAAGAGGCAATTGTTCAATGCCTTAAAATACATACAATTCCAAGGAATAAAAATTAAATTAGATTAAAATTAAAACATATTAAACATTTAAAAACATTGCATTCCATATTAAAATCATGCCATCCATAGTTGTAGTCCAAGCCTTTCCATAGTCATGGAAACTATATTTCCATGATGAATTTTTCTCAATTTCTATGTTGCCACCATCAAGTTACCATGTCCATCATAATACCATGATGCACATGAGATAGATGCAATCCTCCAATGATCTAAGGTCTTGAGCATATAGGGGTAGAAATACTTGACTTAAAATACTAAAATAACATTTACATAAGTAGGTGGCATTTGATGCTTTAGGACCAGCAATAAGGAAGAGATTTTAGTGTGATGCCTAATATATCATGACGTCTTTGCTGCAAAAGAATGAGGAGAGAGCGGTGACAATTGGTTCCAGAGTTCCATTAAAAAAAGGACTGTTTAGTTCCATCTTCAGTATCTGAGGGTGGGTTCTATCTTAAACCCGAAATTCTTACTCATTGGAGTCTTACATTTGCATGAGTTCCTGTAAGAGGCAGCAGAATGCATCACATCCTGGAAACTGCTAGAGCAGTCCTACGGCTCATAATTTTAGTTTTGCCAAACCCTTTTTTGTCCCAAAGTGCACAAAATCATGCAGACATATGCAGAAACTCACAATATCACCTCTTAGGAAGACAATATTTTACATTTCAATTATCCTTCCACATTTGTGGGTTAAGCATTTGTGGATGTGAATAGTTTTTGATTACTGTGTATATACAGCCATCTTTGTTGCTGCCCTATATGTATTCTTTTAAAAGTTTTCTCAAAAGAGGTTTAGGTTTTCCAGGTTAATTCAAGGGTCAGCTTCCAACCATAGAATATATTGGAGGATCCAGAAATGCCCAGATGGGTGTTTTCTCAGATTTAAAAAGTCCACATTTAAAAAAAAATTGTGCTTTTTCCACTTTTGGGGGGATCATCTGCTCCTAACCACCATGAAAGTTGAGGGCTACCTTTATTCAATCTTGCTTGCAAGAACAATATAAGCAAATATTCACATCCTGAGGCATATCTTGGGAAGTCTGACTTCGCCACGGTAGTCCACGCTCTGGTTACATCCCGGATTGATTACTGCAACGTGCTCTACGTGGGGTTGCCCTTGAAGACTGCCCGGAAGCTTCAGATGGTCCAGCGCTCGGCAGCCAGGTTGCTAACGGGAGCGGCACTCAGGGAGCATACCACTCCTCTGTTGAGCCAGCTCCACTGGCTGCCAATCCGCTACCGGGCACAATTCAAGGTGCTGGCTTTAGCCTATAAAGCCCTAAACGGTTCTGGCCCCACTTACCTCTCCAAACGCATCTCCACCTATGAACCGACTAGAACATTAAGATCGTCTGGGGAGGCCCTGCTCTCGGTCCCGCCTGCGTCACAGGCGCGCTTGGCGGGGACGAGAGACAGGGCCTTCTCAGTGGTGGCCCCTCGGCTATGGAATGCCTTACCGGCAGACATCAGACAGGCACCTTCGTTGCTGGCGTTTCGGAGAAGGGTTAAGACCTGGCTTTATGAACAAGCGTTTGGTTAAGCAGTGCAACCAATCAAAGGAAGACGGTAAATGGAACATAGGAATGGCACAAGGATTATGAGAACGGATCTGATTTCACTGAGGCGTTATGTTTTGTTTTGTTGACTTGTCTTGTTTGATTTGTTAATTGTTGTGGATTGATGTTGTTGATCCTGTTTGTGGCATTTGTTGCGTTTTAATTGCACTGACATTGTTTGATAATTTGTACCATGTAAACCGCATTGAGTCGCCTGTTTGGGCTGAAAAATGCGATATAGAAATAAAGCAAATAAATAAATAAATAAATATCTCATCATCTTTAAACGGGGAGTGCAACATCTTTGCCCTATTATCATGAAGCTAAACACAACACAAAGTAAATTGTTTGAAGTATTATGATAATAATGAGCCCAACATCCAAGTACTAAATGAAAGGAAAAGAGTAATCTGATTTATTGGTTGTACAACCATTAACTGCAGATTGAACATCCCTTATCCAGAAGTCCAATACTTGAAATACCCCATATCTGAAACTTTTTTGCTACCAGCCACCCACTTTCTGCTTATGAGGTGGTGTCAGTGGCTCTCCTGCTTGTTCATTCACAAGGCCAGAGCAGGCGCCTGGTGGGCTTTCCTGAAAGAGGAGAGGGGCTGGAGAGAGACCCAAAAATATGTGAAATGAATGGAAGCATTGATTAAAGGTTATTTTTAAAATATTCAAGATATATGTGTAAGCTATATACAAAACATCAATGAGTTTTGTGTTTAAACTTGGATCCCATCTCCACAGTATTTCATTAGGTACAAGCAGACCCCAGGTTACAAAAAAAAAAAAGGTTATGTTTATTCTTAAATTGAATTTGCCTTAATGGCATGCCTGTTTGTATGTAAGTCAGAACAGGTACGTTTTAAAGTGCAACTCCAGCCAATTTTTATTTCAGTTTTTGATTTGGATAGTATAGGGAAGGGTTAAGCCCATAGTGGCGCAGTGGTTTAAACCCTTGTACCAGCAGGACTGCTGATCGATAGGTCAGCAGTTTGAATCCGGTAAGAGCGGGTGGAGCTATCTCTGGCAGATCCAGCTCCCCATGCGGGGAGATGAGAGAAGCCTCCCACAAGGGTGGTAAAAACATCAAACATCTGGGTGTCCTCTGGGCAACTTCCTTGCAGACGGCAACTTGCAGTTTCTCGAGTTGCTCCTGACATGAAGAAAAAAAAACCCTGCAACATTTGTTTTGCTGTCTGTGCCCCTGTTCAAAAGATTTCACCTCACTTTCTGTTCCTGTGATAACTGGATTTTGAAAAAAAAAAAATGGGTTGTTGTGAACACAAGGATTGGTGATTAAGTCTCAGTGGAGACAACTTTTCACCATAACTCTTCTAGGAGTGAATTGCCTTTCCTTCGGGTAGATTTCCTCTCGCTCCCTGTTGTTCATCTCTGTTTGTAACTAGGAGTTGTATGTAAGTCGGATATTTGTAACTCAGGAACTGGCTATACTTATATTCCAAAATCCATTAAAAATCCAAAGTTCAAAACATTTCAGATTCCGGATATTTCAGAAAATAGAAACTCAACCTGCATTTATTTTATCTTTTTCTGTCTCCCCGTTGTTGGTTCCAATCCCACCTCTGACATGAACACCCAGATATGCGGCCTTAATGGCATGCCTGTTTATTGAACATTTGGATATGTA